ATCGGAGTGTCTTTAACCGTGGTGGGACTGAGAGTTAAGTGTTAGGAATTAAAACAGGGTTTCCAGTGAGAGTCCACAGTGTTGGGGAAAAGGACCCATTGGCCCAGACATCACATTCATGACGGGCTCTTCAACTTTTGATATTATCATCAAAGGAAGTTACACATGAAGTTCATAGAGAAACAGTGATGAAGTTCATTCTCCACCTTTAAACTTGTGCACTATGATTGGACCAGACTGCCTCAGGGACTCATGAATTCATTAATCTTACAAATTCTGTAATGAGCTTGGAATTTGCACACCATAATTATATGACTCTGTAATTTTGTCTGCTAAACTACTGGTTACATGCAACCACTTCAACAACAGTTTTGTCATACTGATCTGTATTTCTGTATTGGGAGCATCTCAAAAAGGGGAAATGGCCAGAACCACATTCAAGAGGATCAGAACTCACAGATGGGAGGTTTGTGGGTTGCAGAGGGGGGAAAAAAGGACCCAAAACTTGTCCCTGAAGGATGAGTGGGGGTCTGGTTATTGGAGGGGAAATGGAGGGGTGTCATGATTGGTAAGTATCCTTTCCAGAGCAAATCAAGTCTTTTTTTTTTTTTTTTTTAAACAAAGGGACAGCCATCCCTTTCCTTGTCCCAACTTTCCCTGAGAGGAAAGCCATTCCTGTGATGTGGGTGGTTAGTATGTCCCCACCACTGCTGTTGACTCTGCTCTTCAGGTCTGCAGGTCCCAGCTCAGGGTGGGATGTGCGGCTGGGGCTGAGTGGGCAGAGATCCTGGAGACACAATTCTGCAGGTGAGGTGGGGTGGTGTGGATAAGGGACATTTCAGAGACTTGAGCAGAGGTTTTAATTGCAAGCAGCAATGAGCTGTTTAATTTGCACCTTGAAAGGAATGGTAGAGGTGTTCTAATTAACCGAGACAGAGGTTATAAATTAGGACTTTCCAGAGGGATCCTTTGTGGTCATGTGTCAGGACTTTCTTGTGGAAAGCTGCCCAGAGAATGACATTTCAAGAGCCCTGGGGGTCTTGGGTCAGAAGTCCATTCTCCTGCCAGCCCTGTGATGGACAGTCATGGTGTTTACATCAGAAACTCCAGAGTCTCTGTCAGTGTCTTGTGGTGGGGGTGAGGGGGTGGCAGACCTACACTGGAATCGACACCCTCAGGTCAGAGAGGCCCTGTGCAAGCCCTCTTGCTGAGGCAGCCTGAAGTTTCCTGCCCTAGAAACCCACCCCTCCTGATTCCTCTTAACAGCTTCAGGCTGCCTTGAGATTAGCTTCTCTGGCTCTTTTGCCACCCAAGCTGTGTTGTCATGTCTACAGTGAGGTCACAGTGCTTCCACTCTGAAGTGCCTCTCAGATCTCTGATTTTTTTTTTTTTAACCCACACATATAATTTGGCTAGTTATATGCCAGGCACTGTTAAATCTCTTTGCAGATAAAATGCATATTTGTTCTAAGTCACTTACATAAAGCAAATCCTAACAAAACAACAAGAGGAATTATTAGCCCCAGTTTACAGATGAACAAACTGAGGCACAGACAGGTTGTGATGACTTGCCTTAACCTCACAGAGCTAGGAAGAGACTGAGATGGGATGCAAACCCAGGCCACATGGCCAGTGCTTGGCCACTCAGCAACTTCAGCCCCTGCCTTCCCAGTGAGGGCCTGCCATTTTCTGAGGTCTGGCTTCAGCAAGGTGCTTGAGCTGCTGCACATGACAGTCCTAGTTTTTGAATATTTGAAATTATGTGATGTAAATATATAAAGCCTCACTTCAAGCATATTTTGAATTATTGCAATCCTCCCATTTGAAAAAATGTGAAAAAAACTCCAAAATAAAAATCAAGACCTTTCCAACTTGGCAGGCCCAGGATTTGCAAGATGTTGTGACACGATTTCCAAAGCCTCGTGGCACCAAGTGAGCTGGTAAAGAGGTAGCCTCCATCTTTTGTTGTCCTGTGGGTATCACAGTATTGCTGCCATTCTTTGGAAGATCAGTGAGTGAATCCATTCTTAGTGCCCGGTTATGTGATCAGCTAATGTTGTTAGAACTGAAAATCTTTTTTATATCTGGTAACAATGCCATCCAAGTGTCAGTTAAGTGGTGGAGCTGGCGGCAGTGTTCCCAAGATGGAGCCAACATCAATAGCTTTGCATTGGAAGTGAGAAGTACTAAAATGCCTCAAAGAGGGCTGAGCAAGCACTGTGATACACACTGCTGCCAACTTAGAGCAAGCCCTTTGCAAGCCATTGGAAATGGCTTTTCCAACAGGAAAGTAGCAGTTAAAAGCCCAAAGCCTGCTTCCGCGGTGATAGATTTATATACAGTAAGAAACATCCCTCCCACTTGACATGTACTTCTTTGGAAAGATTAATCTCATGTGAAGTGAATTTCAATTAAATGTGACTGCCCTGTGCTAAACTCCAACTGCTATTCCTCACCTTTTCTCTTCTTTCTTTGGAGAGAATGGCTACCAGATTAGTTCCGCTAAAAGATGGATCTTGCCACTCTCCTACTCAGAAACCTCCTGTGGCTCCCACTGCCCAGTGAAATAGGTCCTGGTATTCAAGCTAATCAGTGAGTGGGACTGAGTCTCCCTGGGGAACAGAGACTCCCAGGGCATCTCTGTATATCACACACACACTCACACCAGCAGGGCCACACCATTGAGACCACCCCCCCCTCAGAACCTAATGGTTGAGTGAGGCATTTATGTACTGGAAGCAGAAAAGTCTGATGGGGTCTCAGTTACCAGGGATGGGATGGGAATGCCTGGTGGCCCAACAGATGTAGTGTTTGCTCAGTGCCTGCTGCTTAGTAGATCTTCATTAAGCATTGGTGGGGCTTCCCAGGTGGTGCTGGCACAGGAGAGTAAGGTTCAAGCCCTGGATCGGGAATCTCCTGGAGAAGGAAATCACTCCAGTGTTCTTGCCTGAAAAGCTCCATGGACAGAGGAGCCTGGCAGGCTAGTCCATGGTGTTGCAAACTGAGGGACTGAGCATTCACGCAACATTCATGTGATGAAGGAATGGATGGTCTTTACAAGAATCTTGGTCTTTGAGTTCTATACCCTCAAGGACAAAGACCAAGGCTACAAATGTGAAGGGGTCTTTAGAATCTTAGGTCATTCTGAACTTTCATGTCCTTGGTCTGGGTTAGGGAAATAATCTCAGCAATCAAAAAACAAACATTTCTTATGTTTTTCTAGGTCAGGGCTTCTCAATCTGCCACTGTGGACACACTGGGCTTGGTAATTCTTCATTGTGGGGGCTGTCCTGGACATTGAAAGATATTTAGAGGCATCCCTGGTCACTTCCCTTGTAGCTCAGATGGTAAAGAATCTGCCTGCAATGCAGGAGACCTGGGTTCAATCCCTGGGTTAGGATGATCCCCTGGAGAAGAAAATGGCAACCCACTCCAGTATTCTTGCCGGGAGAATCCCATGGACAGAGGAGCCTGGCAGGCTGCAGTCCATAGGGTCACAAAGAGTTGGACCCAACTGAGCAACTAATATACACACACTGGCCTCTATCCAAATAGATGCCAGGAGCACCCATAACCTAAGCTGTGAAATCAAGGATGTCTCCAGAAATTACCAAATGCCCGTGGATCAGGGCTGGATTACCCCCAGGTTAGAAACACCCACCTCGGGCAGTGATTCTCAACTCCAGTGGCATACTAATATCACCTGGGGAGCTTGAAAAAAAAATTGATACCTGGGTCTCACCTGGAGACATTCTGATGTAGTTGGTTCTGGAGAGTGGCTTAGGGACAGGAAAGTTTAAAAGCTCCTCAGGTGGGTCTAAGGTTTAGCCCAGTCTGAGAGCCACTGGTCTAGTACTGGGCAGTCCATGAGTTTTACATGCATGATAAGCTTCATGACCTTCCTGTGCAGGAAGGGAGGAGGATTATTGTTGTGGGTTTCTGACTACAGAAGTGAGGTCCAGAGAGGTATGGTGGCCCTATGAGTGGTGGTGCTGGCATTCCAACTAAGCTCATCTGACTCCTAACAGTGCTCCTCCCAAGGGGCAGGGCCCAGCCTGGGCTAGCTTGATGTTGGGGATCATGAGTCAGTTTTTCCCTTCCCAGTGATTCTTCCTACCCCTTAGCTCGCATTCCCTCACTGTTTCCCCATTCCTTTATGCAAAGGTGCAGCTAGCAGCCATTTACACTTTAGTGAGAACATGAGACTGCTTTTTGTCTCCCAGGGGGATTTGCAAGTTATGCCTCATCTGTAACAGTGAAGAAGATGGCTTTGCATCAGCCCATAGATGAGGTGGGGATGGTTTTGGGGTGGTGAGGAATGTTTATGACACCTCTGAAATCAAATCCAATTGGTAACTGCCTTTCATTAAGGTTTACCTCATTCTAGCTTTGAGCTGAAAATCCTATCCAGCTCCATTTCATTTATGAATAATTTTTGGAGCGTCTCCTGTACAATTGTAAGTGCAGTCACGAAGTCACTGTTGGCTGGTTCTCATTCACAAGGCTATAAGTTCCAAGGCAGAGGACATCTTGGCCTTCTTCCGTGGCACTCACTACACCTTGGCCCACACTGGACACGTGACATGGTAGGTACTTGACACATAGACAATTGAATGTCAGGCCACACATCTCAAACCCAAGCCTATGCCCCAGGGAGAGACCACATAGGGTAACCTCAGGACTAAACCTGCAGGCATGTAGCTGAATTTTTCACTTCTGCTCTGGGTTGGCATTAAGAGAAGCCAGCTTCAGAAGCCTTCAGAGAAAATGTGAGCACAGTGGGGTTTTGAAGCTTCCTCAAAACATACATCTCAAGCAGAAATCACTTTTATTGGGATGGCTTCGTTTGAAGAAAAGGAAAAGAGACAACACCAAGAGACAGACTCTGCTAACAGAGGTGGGGGTAGCCAGGCATTTCTGTCCCATGCTGTGCAGAAAGGGGGGGACCACGGTGCCCCCATCATGTCACTCATTCCTAGAGACCAAGATCTGCTCAAGCTTCAGTTCACCTTTTTGAATACTTGCTTGCAGACCACACCCTCCACTCTCATCTCCTGAAACAAAAACAGATTCTTGTTATTGGCCAAAGCAAGGTCACACTTGGGGCTCAGCATGTCCAGGAGCAGGAACTCTGAAAATAATCTGTGACTGCTATTTTTCCTCAAGAGTTGGTCTGAATGAGACAATTCCTTGGAGAGTCAGATGAACTGGGTCAGGGGACATCAGTCTTGGCTATGCCCTCTAGATAGAGCTGGGTGGAGACAGATGTGGCTCAGAGCTGACCAACAGGACCCGCGATGCCTCCTTCCTCCTACTGCCCTCAAGGAGCCAAAAGGCTTTAAGAACACCAGGCCTGAGCCCAGGTCAGAGACTGTGCACAGATTTGCAAGAATTCAGGGCCAGAAGCAAGGCTCAACCCCCAAAGGGCTCAACAGGTCACTGAGACCAGGGTTGCAAACTGGCATGGTGGTTCCAAGCTCCAGCTGCACATTGGAGTTACCTAGGGAGTTTGAAAAATGCCTGGGTCCCAGGCTAGACTAGTTATATCAGCATTTCAGCGGTGGAGTCCTGGAATTTTTATATTAAAAGCTCCAAGGTAGTACTAAAATGCAGCAGGGTAGCCCTTACTGAATGTCGCCAGCAAGAAGGACAGCACAGTGTTTCTACACCTTCCAAGTTGTTGTTGTTTTTTTTTTTGTAGGAGGCTGGAAATTTGAATATTTATGTAACATCTCCTAATTTTTAAGTTGTTAGCTGAAAAAGTATGAAGTCCATGGATGGCCAAATAAAAGAGGCCTGTGTCCCCTACTTTGTAACCTCGGGCAAAAAGTCACAGAACTTTTGAGCTGAAAGGGCTGATGAAGATCATATAACCCACCCTCACTGCTCTGTAGCTGGGGAAATGGAGGCTCAAGAAGGAGACTGGTTCAAGGTCAGGCATTGCAGCCCAGGCTGTAAGCTGCCCCTGAATATGATGTCCTTGTGCCTCTTCTTAGTGCACACATGTCCTGAAGCTCCTACAGACCCTGATCTCGGCAGAAGCCTTTTGTGGTAGGATGGTGTTTTCCAGGTGAGCTTGAGGGAAAGAAAGCACCTCCCAAAAGTACCTGGTGAATCAGATTAGAACCCTGGTCACCTGTATGTGGCTCCTTTCTAAGAACACAGAGTTTCAAGGGAGCAGGAGTGATGTGAGGTCTCTGCTCAGAGGGCAGGTGGTACTTTAGACCCCCAAGCCTAAGGCCTCTACTCTGGGTGTGGATGTGCTTTTTCCCGATAATGATAGCATAGACGCGGCTTTAACCAGCGGTCCCAGGCTGGAGAACAGGGTTGGGAGGGCCCACACCTGAACCAAGAAAGGTTTCTCTCCTGACCTAGACTGTTGAGACTGTGAGCAGATAGGGCAGGGGGTCCTTGGACATAAAAGAAACCATTTTTGACTGAAGCCACTTTGTGATCTAATGCCCACCCTTGAACAGGTCTCAGTAAAGAATGATCCTAAGGCAAGTGAAGAAATGCAGGAGTCAAGGAAAAGCAGTCAAAGAATTGTGATAAAACAGAGGCTGAGTTCCTCCTCAAGGGATACACATGATAATCTCTGGGTTCTGAAGGAACTAAAGCCCCCACTCAGGTGAAGGATGGACATTTTCTGACCCCTGTGACTTCAATCAGTTAAAGCTTGGACTCTGTTGACCTTTGCCCCATCTCAATGCTGAGTTCTCCTCTGCTCAAGACCCTTCATGAATAAGCATGAGCCCTTGGCTTAAAACTTCCCCAATTTTGCTATTTGGGAAGACATGGCTTTCAGAAAAATGCCCAATGTTCTTCTTACTTGCTGCAAGGATTAAATCCTTCCTTCTCCCAATCTGTGGCTTGGCTGTATCTTTGACACCCACCAAGAGGTGAACCCAGTTTTGGGGTAACAAGATCATGTCTTGAGAAGCTTAGAGCAGTCACCCTGGTTCTGGCTAGGCACAATTTGGCATGGTGAAAATGGGTGTCATTTGGGAGCACATGTAAGTTCTGTCATCTTCTAGCTGTGTTACTGGGATGTGAGCCTCCAGGTCTTCTCCAAAATAAGAAACATAACAGTACCTGGCCCATAGGGTTGCTGAGACAATTGAAAGAGATATGGAATGCTAAAAGGTTTGGTTCCACATCTGATGGTTAGCAGATGCACCTCCTCACCTCCCTCTGATTGGACATTTGGGTCAGCCCAGACCTTAAACACATTGCTCTGTTTTTAAAATCACTCAAGCATCTTCTCTAGGGCCTTGGAAGAGAAGTTTCAGAGCAAAGCCAAGGCCCAGACATGGTGCATTCTTCCAAAGTCCACCCAGGCCCCAACATGACCAGGACCTGTGGGGTCCAGCTTGGCTTACTCACCCACCTTCCCGACCTCCGAACCTACCAGGTGCAGCTCGTCACCCTCAATCCACTGGGTCCAGCCACGTCCCTCCTTCTCGCCCTTCTGCACACACTCGAGCTTGTCCCCATCCCAGCTCACCGTGGTCTGCCGAGCCAAAAAATACAGTTGTCATTTTGAAGCCAGCAGCCCCTGGGCTTTGGGGTAGGGGCAGCCCCAACATTGAGAATCCAGGGTGCGCTCAAGTCAGTTTCATTAGAGAAAACTACCGCTTTGTGCTCCTTGCCCATCACATGCAAATCAGTTTTAAAATTTACAAAAACTTTCATAAATGTAAATGGGTAATTAGGAGAGAAAAAGTCACTTGGGTGGGGCTGACAGTGCAAAGGCTAAGAATGGGGCTGGGGCAGGCACGGATGTGGAGCATGCTCAGGAAGCTCCTCAAGAGGGTTCTGTGTCTGGTTCCAAGTTCCAGGGGACCGCGGTGGGGAAAGAGGAGGAAGCAACTTATCTGCCCTTCCAGTCAGGCTGCCACCCTACCCTATCTTTGAGCTCTCACATGTTCTCTGAGCCTCGTGTGCCACCACAGGTATTGGGCGTGCTGATGGCCAGACAGACAGCAGGAGGAGGCCAAGTCTTTGCACATGGACCTACCCAGAAATACAGAGCTGGAAGTGCTGGAATTTAGACAGGAGACAGCCAGAAGCCCATGGTATAGACTGGGACCTGTGTGCAGTGGGCATCTCCTGTATCTGTAGCTACCCACCTCTGGTCCATGTGAGCTCTGCCCTCCCCCCTGGAGAGGTTAGAAACCCATGCATCCCTTCACTGTGAGGCTCTGAGCAAGTCCATCACTTCTCTGAGCCCCAGTGTCCTCATTTGTCATATGAGGTGGCCAGAGGCCATGAACTCAAGAGACCTTGGCTGCACAGAGGTAAGCTTCTAGGATTCCTGTGTTCCTGCCCTGCTCAGCTGGGAAGATGGTTAGCAATTTCCTGAAAAGGATTTAGGAGAGCAGGAGGAATCTGGGAAGTGGGTGTGGAGTGAGGGGTGCACTCCCTACGGGAGGATCACCTCCCCCTTCCTACTCCACCCCCAGTCTCCAGCCTGGGTTTGCTGATCTCTACCACCTCCTACTGTTGGGATGAAGCCTGCCGTGAGAGGCAGGCACAAAGGGGACAGGTGGAGCCAGTGTACCCCCAGCTCCACCCAGGGATCAAGCTGCTTTCTGCTCCCGAGCCCAGAGGGGTAGGGGCATGGGAGGACTTGGGGTGGGAGCGGCTTATTTCCCTGGTCCGGAGATCACTCGGGGCACATGTCCAGCCCCAAGCCAGAGGGAAGGTCCCACCTCCAAGTCAGAGCAGAATGAAGTGAACGTCTGAGAAGCTGGGTGTAGGGTAAAGGCTACCAGTGACCTCAAGCCACAGACAGGATGCCTGTTCACTGAGCACCTTGTGCACACCCAGCTGGTGAAGGGAGGTGGGGGCTGAAATCAACTTCAAGGAGCTCCTAAGAACACTTGGCCTCCTCATCAACTGAGCTGCTCTTCACGTTTATTCGGAAGTCTCCCCTGCATACAGAGGGCTCCAGATGCACCCAGTTACATGCATGCTCAGTTACAAGAGATACACTTCTGTCTCTACTGGAAACATTAGAGCCAAGGAGCATATTCATAACCTCCATCCTAGAAAATGCAAGAAATGCTCAAAAAAGATCACAGTAATAAAAAGAATATTGTAATCCTGCTTCTTCAGAGATAATTACTCTAGCATTTTGGTGCATTTCTGTCCAGTCTTTTTTTCTCTATGTATGAAAGTTGAAGGTGTTAAGTCACTCAGTTTTGTTCCACTCTTTGCGACCCCATGGACTGTAACCTGCCAGGATCTCTAAGCATAATGTTTTTGTTTTAAAAAAAGTGGGCTTTCCAAGTGGTAAAGAACCTGCCTGCCAATGCAGGAGACATAATATACGCCAGTTCAGGATTGCATCATTTATGGTTTTGTACCTGTTTCTTCATTTAATAGAAGTAATTTTCCACTTTGACAAATATTCTCCATAAGCATTAATTGTTATGTCATATTTAGGAAATGGATACATAATTTGTAAGGCCCAGCCAGCAAAAAATGAAAATGAAGACTCTTTTTTTAAAAATGATTAAGGATGATAAAGGATAGTAAAGGACCTGCCTGCCAACGCGGGAGATGTAAGATCCCTGGGTTGGGAAGATCCCCTGGAGGAAGGCATGGCAATCCACTCCAGTATTCTTGCCTGCAGAATCCCATAGACAGAGGAGCCCAGCTGGCTACAGTTCTGGGGTTGCAAAGAGTCAGACACAACTGAAGTGACTTAGCAAGCATGCAAGAATTTTAAGACAGTGACAGCAAAGCATTAAACCAAGGGAGGGGCCCTTCTGGGGACAGGAGCCTGTGGAGCTGCCCTGATCACAGGCCCATGGAAGGCAGCCCTGGCAGTATTTCCTGTACATGCACACCATTATTTAGCCCGTTACCTATTCTTGGACATTTAGGTTATTTATAATTCTGTGCTACTATAAAGTGTATACAGTTTTGAACAATGTTTTGTTAGAATAAATTCCGAGGCAAAAAAACTTGCATGAAAAAGTGGGCATACTTTTAAGGCTTTTGATAAATATCATCACCTTGATCTCCAGAAAGCTTACATCTGCTTCCCTTCCAACATCAATGTCAGAGAACAAGCATGAAAGAGATGTTCATTAATGGTAAAGCAGGCTTTGCTCCAGTGCTAACACGTTACCCTTTCCAGATCATTTGGCATCTTTTAATAGGGACCATTTGGATATAGATAATAAAAATACCTTATCAAAAGAATGATGGATGGTACAATTTCAGTCTTCATGACAGATCTAGGGATTCAGGGAGTGGAATGTTCTTGGAGTGTAGAGAACTCTGTTAGAGCCCTACAAATCAGACCCTCAAAGAGAAGGATCCCAAACACACAAATGCTATGTCAGTTTCCACAGGAAGTACTTTCTCAGCCTAGAATTCCTGTTGACTCTTGACCCTGGGTGAGTTAGATAGAAAAGAGACCTGTTCTCGTCTGTATTGAAGATACAAGAGAGGCTGAGCTTAGAGAGGTTAGGTGACATTCTCAGTGTCACCCAGCTAATGAGGAAAAGAACCTGGGCTGGAACATGGGCCTTACATGGCTCAGTGCCCTCTTGTTTCCCAGCCCAGGCAGGACACCCAGCAGACATCTGGTAAATTTTGAGGGGCTGCAGAGGAAACATGGGCATTACGCTAAGACTCTGAGCAGCCCCCAGAAGGAACACCCTTCAGTTCAGAGAGTTCACACCCTTCATTGCTGGGTGTGGGTGCTGGGAGCCACAGTTGGGTCCTGAAGATCCATGCCCCTATGAGACCACCACAGAGAAGGGGAGACAGTGACATGCCAGGTGGTTATAGCTCAGTGTTGTAGGCGCTGGTGTCAGGGGAAGCACAGAGGCAGTAGGGCCCTTATTCTCGAGGAAATGTGACTAGCTTTCTAAAGTGGGAAGGCATTCCAAACAGTCATTAAGGACAAGCAGGCCAGTGCTGAAGGAGGGGGAGGTGGACAGGGTCATAGCGCTGGACTGTAACTGGGACCGTGGCCTGGAGCATGCCTTCAATGCCTCCTGATGCTGCCTTTGCCCTCACATAGCCCCATGGCCCTGGTCTGCTGGTGGAACACTCACCAAGGGGCCAGGGAGCCTGTTGGCTGTCCTCTGGGTTAAAGAGGCTGGGAAGCTCAGCTCCTGGTATCTGTCTCCCTCCAATGCTGTATCGGCAAAGAACACATTCCCTGGAGTCAACAGACCTGGACCCTCTGTCCTGAGCTGTGGGGAATAACCTTGGGCAACAGGAGGAACCTCTCTGAGCCTCAGGGCCCTCATCTACAAAAGAGGGATTCACAGTACCTTCTGTGGCAGACTGTTCCATCAGGATCCCCAGTGGCTCATATGATGCTCACACCCTTAGGAAGCCCCCTCCCACACTGATTCTGGCCTTGGTGGTGTGAGTCGCCTTGGCCAATGGGACAGCAGGAAGCACAAGGCAAGCAGTGCTTTCAGAAGCCCTGGGGGCTCATCGTCTCAGGATCCTCCCCTTTGGGATGGAGCTGCTGTGCTTTAAGGAAGTACAGGCCATTCCACATGGCATCTGGTCCCGTCACTTCATGGCAAATAGATGGGGAAACAGTGGAAACAGTGACAGACTTTATTTTCTTGTGCTCCAAAATCACAGGAGATGGTGACTGCAGCCACGAAATTAAAAGACGCTTGCTCCTTGGAAGAAAAGTTATGACCAACCTAGACCAACCTAGTATATTAAAAAGCAGAGACATCACTTTGCCAACAAAGGTCCGTCTAGTCAAGGTTATGGTTTTTCCAGTGGTTATGTATGGATGTGAGAGTTGGACTATAAAGAGAGCTGAGCGCAGAAGAATTGATGCTTTTCAACTGTGGTGTTGGAGAAGACTCTAGAGAGTCCCTTAGACTGCAAGGAGATCCAACCAGTCCATCCTAAAGGAGATCAGCCCTGGGTGTTCTTTGGAAGGACTGATATTGAAGCTGAAGCTCCAATATTTTGGCCACCTGATGTGAAGAACTAACTCACTGGAAAAGACCCTGATGCTGGGAAAGATTGAGGGCGGGAGGAGAAGGGGACAACAGAGGATGAGATGGTTGGATGGCATCACCGACTCAATGGACATGAGTTTGAGTAAACTCTGGGAGTTGGTGATGGACAGGGAGGCCTGGCCTGCTGCAGTCCATGGGGTCGCAAAGAGTCAGACATGAATGAGCGACTGAACTGAACTGAGGCTCTTCTACTGGAGAGATAAGCATGACAAGACTGCATGATAAGCTCCAGAGGATGAGAAAAAGTGATCACCATAGGAGAACTGAGATTCCTCAACAGAGCCTTTAGCTGAATGCAGTCACATGAAGCTGTGAACACCCAATCAATCCACAGAACCATGAGAGTAAATGGTGGTTGTTTTAACGTATTACATTTTGGGGTGGTTTGTTATGTGGCTTTGGATAACAACAAGACCCACTTTACTAGTTTATGCTGAGGATGAGAGAAAATGTACATAAAATGCATAGGACCTGTGTATGGGGCCCTAGGTAA